CTTACGAGCCATTTACTCAAGATATTTCTAGCTATCATCCATAACAGAGTCATATCATTGTCGGTACCAGTAATTCGGAAGAGTTTGCGCGCCGGAAACATGAATCGCACAATTATGTTGATTAGATTGTAAAACGTTTTAAAATCAAACGACTTGAAGACCTGGATGCAAAACGCGTAGTAAATCTTGACTTAAATCTTCCTTTACCTATACAAACGATTCCTCAGGCTGTTTTTACTCTGCGTCGCGCGATCGAAAGATCAAAACTTAGGTGGAGTTAACAAGTCACCTCCGATCACACTCTCGGAGATACTATGGTTCGTCATTGTCCGGTTTCGTCCCAGTGGACACCATCATCGTCAACTCGAAAATTTTGTTAATCCCAACGGCTACGGCTAAATGTAAAGCTTGTGCGTGACTCTTGATGATATTAAATCGTAAATCGTAATCCGTGGAATAAAGGTAAGAATCTGCATAACTGTAGCATAGCATAAACATTTCTGTTTTCTATGATCCATTAATTACATCTTCATATTAATTTCTTAAAATTTCTTTGCACCTGAAAAATAATGAATTAAAGATTACAACTTGTGATTTTACAACGGTGAACTCACATATTACCTAAAATCTTAAGATTATCTTATTCATTCAAATTCAATAGTCAGGAACTTTTACTTGCTGCCCATAATTGTGGGGTTGTGGTATTGCAACCGGCAAGCCTACCCATTTGTGCTAATACATTAAATCAGTTTGATTTTAGAAAATTTGCCATAGCATAGCCGGTCTTTATGGTGACAGTTTATTTTACAATATATAATACAATAATTGAGATAATCTCTAAACACAACATGTTTATTAATGTTTAAGTTTATTTTATGTCATATATTTTGGTATGGTATTAATTGGTAATTGGTATTAATATCATAACTAAAGATGTGCTTAATCTTCGATAATTCGTCTACGGGAAGCGACTATCAATGTCTAAATTTAACTCAAAAAGTTTTCCCTGTTCGATTACGAACCTTCAATAATATACATAATAATTAGAAC